GCTGCTAACGGTTGTTCTCATTTTAACAACATGAGTCAGCTGAGCTAACTAATTAGCGGTTGTTCTCCACCACCAAACATCAGATTTGGTCTCCGCCTTGCCCAGCTTGAAACAAAGACGTGGTGCGTTCAGTTTGTGCTCAGATGTGTTGTGACAGATACACACAGGCAGTTATGATCCCCTCCCTGCCTGTCACGGTGGCAAGTGTTAAGAAGTAAAAAACATTTTATTTCTGACTGTATTTTTTTCTTTATTTACCCTTTATTTACCCAGGTAGTCTCATTGAGCCACGAGAACTCATTTTCAAGAGAGACCTGTTTTTGGGGAGCAGATGAGGGTCAAGGGCCTTGCTCATGGGCCCTGGGTGGGGCGAATGAGGGTGGGGGCAGATGTGGGTGCTTCACCTACCCCACCACATTTTTGATGTTGTTGGTACCGGGGCTTGAACCTGCGATCTTCCAGTCACAGGCCCACCTTCTCTAACCTCTGCGCCACCACTCCCCCAAATCATTCAGATCAAACAATAAATAAAAACAGAACACGTAAAACATCATGATCAGCTGTGGAGAAAGCTGCCAGACAGTTTCTGCTGTTTCCCTTTTCTGCTTCGGCTGTTTCTGTGGGATAACAAAGCCCTCAGTGGTCAAAAAGGCCACAGCTATTCGGCACTAACAAAAACAAAACAAAACCAAGATGGAGACACAAAGCAGATGGGCGGGATTGTCCTCGTTAGCCTGCCACTGTCTGGGTGCATCAAGAGGTTGCAGCAGGGTTAGTCCTAAACTGAAAATAATAAAGTACATAAAATTAGAAAACAGACACAATGAAGGCAGACTGAAGTTAAAAATGAAAACAAACAAAAACAGCCACGCTCCTCTGATGGATCTGAACAAGATGAATTCTTGTTGCTTTTCAGGAAAGACGTTTTTTACCAACCAATAAACAGATTCGGTGTTGGACCTCATCGATGACACGTTAGGTTAATTAAACGTTCTTCAAAATAAAAGCCTTGGGCCAAAGAGAGAAGGTAAACACAAACAAAGAGACAAAAGTGTTTTCTGACAAGAGTCAATGAGATGCTGAGATCTGAATGACTGGTTAATAATCCTGACCGAGGCAAAACACTAGCTAAAAGCCAAAAGTAACAAAAATACTAGCGACAAAATAAAAGACGAAAATGTTCGGTTGAAAGCCAAAACGATCAAAATGCTAGCCAAAAGTTAAAAGAAGCAAAATGTCAGAAATAGCTAATCGCCTCCTAAAAATAGCAAACCGCTAGCTAAAAGATAAAAGTAGAAAATGGCTAGCTAAAAGCAGAAATGATGATTAAAAAACTAAAAGTAGCAAAAGGTTATCTATAAGCTAAAGTAGCAAAAGGTTATCTATAAGCTAAAGTAGCAAAAGGGTTTCTACAATAAGACGCTAGTTTAAAACAGTAGCTAGAAGCTAAAAGTAGCAACTGGCTTGTTAAATGCTAAAAGAGGTAGGACATAAGCTAAACACTACAAACATATAAAAACACTAGCTAAAATATAAAAGTAGTAAACGACTGGATAAAAGCTGTTCAGTGTCCTGAGACGACTTCTGTTGTGACTTGGCGCTACTTTACAAATAAACTGAACTAAAAGAATAAATAAGAAACAAAAAATAAGACAGAACTTTATTGATCCCACAGGAAATTGTTGAAAAGGAGAACACTAGCTGAAAGCTACAAAAGCTAAATTCTAGCTATAAGTAGTAAAATGCTAGCTAAAAGATGGTAAATACCAGCTAAAAGTAACGGAACAGTAGCTAAAAAAAAGCATCATAAGAAGCTAAAAACTGAACATTTTTGAAGGATTCAAACTATATCTATATGTTTCTATGGGAGAATATTTGTAATTATAATTAAATATTTTGAAAAATATAAAAGCTACAAAATCTGCAAGTCCCAGCACCCATAATCAGTTTCTGATCTTTTCTGATTGTTTCTTTCAGGTTATGGAGCAAAATCTGTCTCCGAACGCTCGGAGGAGTTTCAGCTTCTCATCTCTGCGCATCAAAAGTAAGAGTCAGCTTTAATGACACGTTGGTCTCTGTGATTTACTTTTAAAACGTCTTATTTAAGTGATAACTCCTGATGTAAATCTGAATTTCTCACAGAAAGGCATAACAGTGAAGACGAGAGTGGGTTTACACGAAGGAGGGGGTTACGTTCCTTTTCATCGAACCGAGAAACGACCAGAAAAGGTTTTATTATTTCACTTCACTCCAAAGTCTATTATAATATAAAATCTTCGGCTGTTGATGTCTCGCTATTTCTGCTGCAAATGCTAATATCAAAAACTGATTAAATTTCCTTTGGGCTAACATTTAAAATCTCAGTTTTGTATTCAGGCATTCTGTTAGCGCGTTAGATTTAGCATCTTGCTAGTCAAGTCGTCAAGTCAACTTTATTTATAAAGCACTTTTAAAACAGCAGGCGTTACCAAAGTGTTTAACAATAAAAATCAATGGGAGTAATTTTATGGAAAAATATAAAATAAAATGTATATATATTTAATAATAAACAAAAAAAATGATAGTACTGAAACAAATGAATTAAAAGCATCCAAATAAAAACAGAAAAACACGTAAAAAGCACAATCACAACAGACAGAGGAGGACGGCAGGCCATGTGCACCGGCGCCATCTTCCCCGAAGTTGTTTGCTAGTTTTAACTTCCTGCGACCAAATTCTAGCTTTAGCATCGCGCTAGCGTTGTAGTTTTAGCAACTTGTTTGGACTCTAGATTTAGCTAGAAAAGCTATGTGAATTCTTGCAAACAGTATTTTCCATTTTGTACTCGAAATTAGAAAATTACTAATTCAAAGTTCTTAAAATAAATAAATAAAAAAACTTCCCGAAAGTTGGTTTTCTTATTTGGGAAGTGAACTTAAATTAAAATATGGCTTCTCTGCACATTGGTGTTATAACCTCAGAGACTGATGAAGCCCTTTGGATGGAGGGCAAAACGTCTCAACAAAAAAAGAAACTATCCAGATGACGTGACTGAACATCGTTGGATTTTTACCTGGATTACTGAGCATGAACCTTGATGCGGTGACAAGTTCTTTGAATTAAGAAAGCTCCTCGGATGAGAAGGAAACGTCTTCAATTACAAAATAAAGTCCACTTGTTTTTGTCTTGAACTTTTTTTGGTTTGTCCATGTCCTGGATGACTGCGACCACGACGAGCTTTATTTGACCTTCTGTCAGTTTATATCCTTATCAATTAGAGGCGCTCAGCTTCGATCGGTGAACGAGTTAGCATCCGAAGGCCCAAACGGCAGCTAAATACACAGTTTTTATCAGCAGGTACCGCTAATATCAGTTAGCCTGGTCACAACAGTGATCCAACTGCACAGGTTTTCCTTCCTGCATCTGAAACAGTTTTGTGCCGGAGGTTCGGATGTTCTGATTCTGACATTTTAAAATAAATGTGCTTTTCATCATTTGTGTGCTAAACAGTTCCAGCGTACAACTCATTAACTTTGGAGTAAGGTGGCCTCCGCTAATCGACCTTAGCAAACACAGAAGTGGCCACAGCTCAGTCACGTTTACAGAAACTGAGCTGTAATTTGGTGTGGTAGTAGCTGAGAGTCATCTCCATCAAACACTCAGAGCACTCACTGACCTACGTTTGTTGCATTCAATATGTATTCATTCACTGAAGACTTGAGCATTATTTTCTGATCTTGAAGACAACATGAAGCAGCGGGTTTAATTCTGACAGATGTGTCTTTTTTTTAGTTTAAACAAACTTAAAGACGTTAAAGTTTCATCCTGCAGGAGTCAGCAAAGCTTTTCCTAAATGAGAAAATTCCTCATGAAGGGAACATTTATTTCAGATTTTCTTTCTTTGCGCGTGTGTGAACGTTTATGAAGATTAGATGTATGCTGAGAAACACATTTAAAGGAACCCCAACAGGATATGAATCAAACATCTGCAATTTTCTGTCGTTGTTTACCGTAGCCCCAGACAGAGACGGAGCCCCAGAAACACATCTGGTCCGCGACCTGGTGAAGAAGCTTCACGTGTCTGAAGGTAGAGCAGCCTGTATGACGGCACTGACATGAACCCACTGTTTCTGTAAACTTGATCTTATCTGTGGTGGAAACAGCAACTAACTCTGAGAAGTGTCCAGGTTTGATAAATGCCTGCTCAACCTCCACCCAACTTCTGTGGAAACACATTTATTGAGTCAGCAGTCACACTATCGTTTTCCTTTTTATAGTTTTTATCTATATGTTTTTATGGACTCAAACCATACACATCAGCTATTTTAAACATTAATTTATCAAAACGTCTAACTGGATAAACAATAGTGTACTATTTTGGGTTTTGTTCTTTTTACACTTTTCAAAATATTTCAACTTTCAAAATGTTCCAGAGAAAAGACGTTTTAGTTTCTTTAAAACATTTTAGCTATGAAGTTCTCTTCAGCACATGTGCTTGATTTTTCTCTTCTTGAGCTACTTTTAGCTTTTAGCTATCATTTTGGTAGTTTTAGTTCATGTTCAGCAAAATTTAGATTTTAGCTACCATTTTGCTAATTTTACATTTTAGCTATGTTTCTGCAACATTTAACTTTAAGTTTTGCATTTGTAACTTATAGCTACCATTCTTCTACTGTTCTTTTTAGCTATGTTTTTAAAACTCATTTTAGCTTTTAGCTACAGTTTTGCTAGTAGCCATTCTGCTCTTTTTGTACTTGAAGCAACAACGGTGCTACTTATAGCCGAAAGCGAAGGGCGTGAGCCTAATCATTACTGGGACCAGCCAACAGAGAAGATGGTCCTGTTCCGACTTCAGCTTCCAAGTTCTTGTCTGAAATTAGTGGTTCCTAAATTTTTCAGCTCCTGGCCCACAGAGAAACAACAGCAGAGACTTGTGACCCCATGCAACACTGGCTGAAGTACACTATTATTGCTAAAAACATAAACAAGAGGAATAACAACACAAAGAGTTTTAATTTAATTTAATTAATTTCCAACCACCGTTTTTATCCCTTGCGTAGTGAAAATGTGCCAGGATCATTTTTAATGGAAGTTCATATCTGGAGATTATTCCCCACTTGGTGTTTTTTGACCCACACAGTGATCTCAGCACCACCATTGGAACCACTGATCTACATCTAGTCTGGGGTTGAGCATGACTCTTAGCTACTTCCCCATCAAATAGCACCTAATATTTGTAAAAATGACTGCATTATAGCTTGTGTTAGCTAAGGTGGATTAGCTGTGGCAGCCATCTTCAGTATTGTCTCCAAAAGCTAGCCAGTGGTAGATTTACATCCAATAATTACTTTCAGGGAATTTGAATAAAACCCTTTTCACACAGGTTCATGAGGTATCACTAATGAACAGACAAACACTCTGCTTTTTGTGGTGGCAGGCTACTCAACCAGTGTTTACATAAGTTTGTATACAGATCAATAGAGATCATTGATTGGCAGTGAGATAGTCTGAAGGTCAAACTAAAGCGATATTATGTATGTACTGACATTTTATTACTAGCAAAAGCCTCAGAATTTGCGATGACATCCGTCAAAATCTAGGGATGTTTCTCCCAAAAAGGGGCGGGAACAATTCGAATTTCTATGTACCCGGAAGTTAAGTTTACTTCAATAACAATAGCCACTTTTGGGTCTCAGCACCTTCCCTAATTTTCTGTTACTTCCTATCAGTGAGTTTTATGTAAACAAAAAGTTATTCCATCCAATCACGTCTTGTGACTGGGTTAAACAAACAACCAACACCCACTCTGACTTAGAAAAGCCAACAAACATCCTGCTCAGCGGACACAGTAGGTGTTGTCTTTTCCGGGCTTACCTTGAACGCAGCACCGTGCTCCTGCGGGTGACCCGCCGATTCTCTCCGCCTCGCCGAGCCGCACGGATGCGTCGTGTTTGCGGGGATGGAGACGTTGAAGTCCCGCGGTGGAGTTTCAGAAAGCAGCCGGTGAGAGGAGCACGGAGCGCCGGAGGAGCCCAGCAGCGATGGGCGAGGCGGTGACGAGGAGGGAGAAACGAACCATCCTGACGAACTTTAAGCAAAGATGGAGTGAGTTTATAACCGTTCCCGCCTCCAACCTGCTCGTTAAAGAAATCAAACTTCACAGACGAGTTTTTATCCGCCTGCTCAACTCTGCTAATCGAATAAGTAGTGTACCTGTCGGAACGGGCTGCGGGT